ACAAAGAGCTCTTCTCTGCTGGAGCTAGGTGTGAATGTTTCAACTGACCACCTTCATTAGCATTTGAAGGCCTGGCTGAGCCTGGGAAAATCTTTTGTTGAGAGGTGTTAAGATGTGCCTGGTTGTTTCCTCTCTGCTGTTTTTCTTTTGTAATTTTAGAGTTTTTTTTAATACTGGTAGGCAGATTTTGTTCATTTTCATGGTCTCTTCCTTTCTGTTGAAATTGTCCACATGCTTGTGGATTTCAATGGCTTCTCTGTGTAGTCTGACATAGTGGTTGTGAGAGTGGTCCAGCATTTCTGTGTTTTTCACAGATGCATGGTATACGGTAGACTCCTGCAGAGGTGAGAGGATCCCTCTTGTCCTTTGCTGAACGTAGCATTTGTTGGATTTTCTTGGTGGGTCTGTAGATAGTTTGTATGTTGTGTTTCCTCATCAGCTTCCCTATGCGGTCAGTGGTTCCCTTGATGTATGGCAGGAACACTTTTCCCCTGGGTGGATCTTCATCTTGACTCTCGTGGCTTGTTCTTGGTCTTGCAGCTCTTCTGATGTCTGAGGTGGAGTCTCCATTGGCCTGGAGAGCCCAGTTGAGGTGGTTCAGTTCATCTTGGAGGAGGTGGGGTTCGCAGATTCTTTTTGCACGGTCTGCCAAGGCTTTAATGGTGCTTCTTTTTTGACTTGGTGATGGTTGGAGTTTTTATGTAGATATCTATCTGTGTGTGTGTTTTCTGTAAACGGTGTGACCCAATTGTTGATCTGGCTTGCGGATGACTAGGACATCTAGAAAAGGCAGTCTTCCTTCATTTTCTTTTTCCATGGTGAATTGGATGTTTGGTTGAGATTTGCAGGATTTTCCGGAGGCAGTGCTGATGGAATCCTTCCAGGAGCTGCATGTAACATCTGTAGACAGTCCACATCTCGCAGGCGTATAGCAGGTTTGGGAGGACAATAGCATTATAAACAAGCACCTTGGTATCCCTGGATGTCTGGGTCCACAAACACTCTCTGCTTCATTCGGAAAAAAGCTGCACTCGCAGAGCTCAGGCAGTGTTGTATTTCGGTGTTGATACATGATTTATTTATATTTATTGTGTCATCAGCAACCATTGTATTACAATTCTAACAGAGCAAAACAAACACACAGATTAAAAAGGAAAAGGAAAAAACACACAGATTTGCAAATTTGGTATTTGGTTAAATGTCCTTTGACCAGTATCTGGCCACTTGGAGTGCCTCTGGGGTTGCCGCAAGAAGGTCCTCCATTGTGCATGTGGCTGGGCTCAGGGTGCATTGCAGCAGGTGGTCAGTGGTTTGTTCTTCTCCGCACTCGCATGTTGTGGATTCCACTTTGTAGCCCCATTTCTCAAGGTTGGCTCTGCATCTCGTGGTGCCAGAGCGCAGTCTGTTCAGCGCCTTCCAAGTCGCCCAGTTTTCTGTGGCCCAGGGGGGAGTCTCTCATTTGGTTTGAGCCTGCCACTTTTGGACTCTCACTTGCTGAGGTGTTCCAGCGAGTGTCTCTGTTAAAATGTAGAGTTTGGAATATACTGCCCCTCTTCCAACACACACCAGATAAAAATGCAAAAAAATATTAGATTTGATTTCAATATGGTAATTTTCCTATTACCATACCACCTAAGTCATTTTCATTCACTCCATTTGTTGGCGCGACACCCTTTTATACATGGCAGTCTCCATTAATGTATCCCATCCACTGTTTTATAGCGTGGTGTATCTGTTCCAACCCCTTTGCATGCAATACTCTCAGCATCATTACAAGATCAGATGTCTTCACTGTGTCTGGTTGTGATCCCCAGGTTGTGCCAGTCAGCTTTCGTATGATATTGTTTCTAGCACCCACTTTTTGCTTGATGTTCAGGCAGTGCTTCTTGTAGGTCAGAGCACGGTCCAGAGTGACTCCCAGGTATTTGGGTGCGCTGCAATGCTCCAGTGGGATTCCTTCCCAGGTCATCCTCAGAGCTCGGGATGCTTGTCTGTTCTTAAGATGAAAAGCACATGTCTGTGTTTTAGATGGATTAGGGATCAGCTGGTTTTCCCTGTAATAGGCAGTAAGAGCACCTAGAGCTTCAGAGAGCTTCTGTTCAACCATCTCAAAGCTCCCTGCTTGAGTAGTAATGGCATGATCATCAGCATAGATGAAACAGCGAAAGAGAGAAGATGCCAAGAGGAAAGTATGGAAAGTCCAGGGTGGGAGGGGAAAAAACCCTCAAATGCATTCCAAAAGCAAAGTTTCTGTGAAGCAGGCCTCTCTAACTCCCAGTTCCCTTGGTCTCCTTACCTGTGGCATCAGCCTCGGCGGGGAAGCCACGGTGGGAGCCCTACAACTCCAAAACCTCCTTGAGGACTCCAACTCCCAGCAGCCTCAGCTGCTTCTGCCAACGACGAGGGCTTCTGGGAGCTGAAGTCCTCAACGCCCGGAAGAGCAGAGTGTGAGAAAGGCCGGTGGTGACGTCACGTCCGGTTTTCATGGGAGAGTTCTGAATCTCTACGGCTGCACCAACGCTTTGGCGCCTCAAGAGGGCGCGCTCCCCTCACAGGCGCATGCGCGTACTTTCAGTTTCCCTTTGGGCAGCAGCCATTCAAAGTCAACGGAGACCAATAAGGACACAGTCTAAGCCCTCCTAACAGAGGGCCTGCCAGCCTCTTCCTGGAGGTAGAAGGGACTTTTATGCTAGGCATGGGCCCAAGTTTGCTCATGGCTTTCATAAATGATGTATTGATAGTATATTGAAATACAGCCATTCAAAGCAAATGGGCACCAATGACACAGTCAAAGCCCTCCTAATAGAGGGCCTGCCAGCCTCTGCCTGGAGGAAGAAGGAACTTTTATGCTAGGCATGGGCCCAAGCTTGCTCATGGCTTTCATAAACAATGTATTGATATTATATTGAAATACAGCCATTCAAAGCCAGTGGGGACCAATAAGGGCACAGTCAAAGCCCTCCTAACAGAGGGCCATCCAGCTTCTGCCTGGAGGAAGAAAGGACTTGTATGCTAGGCATGGACCCAAGATGGCTCATGGCTTTCATAAACGATGTCTTAATAGTATATTGAAATACAGCCATTCAAAGCCAATGGAGACCAATAAGGACACAGTCAAAGCCCTCCTGACAGAGGGCCTTCCAGCCTCTGCCTGGAGGAAGAAGGGACTTTTATTATTGACTAGCTTGGGGACCCGGCGCTGCCCGGGTTATTAGAGAAAGGAATTGTATATCAAGGTTGGTGTTTATCAGTTATTTATATGGCTCGCAGTGGTCTCAGGAAGTTAGTGAAGGTACTGTGAGTCCCATTATCCATAGTCTTCCTCAAACATCACCAGAATGTTGAGTTGGCCATGGGGGCTCTCTGTGCCAAGTTTGGTCTTTATTGGTATTTGGATGAATGTCACTGTGGTTTCAGGAAGTGAGTGAAGGTACTGCAAGTCCCATCATCCATTGTCCGTCTTCCTCCAAACAGCACCAGGATGTAGAGTCGCTCATGGGGGCTCTGTGTCTTGATTGGTCATTAGATGAGGATTGCAGCAGTCTTGGGAAGTGAGTGGAGGTACTTGAAATCCCATCATCAATAGTCTGTTCTCCCCCACACCTCACCAGAATGTTGAGTTGGCCATGGGGGTTCTGTGTGCTAAGTTTGGTCTTCATCACTCATTGGATGAGGGTCTCAGTAGTTTCACTAAGTGAGTGAAGGAACTGCAAGTCCCATCGTCCATGTTGCATCATCCTCCAAACCACACCAGGATGTAGAGTGCATCATGGAGACCCGGTGTGCCAAGTTTGGTCTTTATTGGTATTTGGATGATGGTTGCAGTGGTCTTAGGAATTGAGCGAAGATACTGTAAGTCCCATAATCCATGCTTGATCCACAGTCAAACCACACCATGGCGTAAAGTGGGTCATGAGAGGTCTATGTGCCAAGTTTGGTGTTGTTCAGTCATTGTTGAGGGTCGCAGCAGTCTCGGAAAGCGAGTAGAGGTACTTCAAGTCCCATCATCCATGGTCTGCCCTCCAAACCGCAGTGGGATGTAGAGTGGGTCATGGGGGCTCTGTGTGCCAAGTTTGGATTTGATCGGACATTAGATGAGGGTTGCAGCAGTCTTGGGAAGGGAGTGGAGGTACTTGAAGTCCTATCATCCATGGTCTGTCCTCCTTGAAAGTGCACCAGGATGTAGTGTCATGGGGACACTATGTGCCAAGTTTGGTATTGGCAAGGGTCTCAGTGGTCTCAGGAAGTGAGTGAAGTGACTGCAAGTCCCATCATCCATTGTCAAATTCTTCCAAACCGCACCAGGATGTAGAGTGGGTCATGCGGGCTCTCTGTGTAAATTGTGGTCCTGATCCATCATTGTTGGCAGTTGTAATGGTCTTAGGAAGGGAGTGCAGGTATTGCAAGTCCCATCGTCCATGGTGCATCCTCCTCCACACAGGATGTAGAGAGCGTCATGGAGACTCATTGTGCCAAGTTTGGTCTTTATCGGTAATTGGATGAGGGTTGCAGTGGTCTCAAGAATTGAGCAAAGGTACTGCAAGTCCCATAATCCATGGTCCATCTCCAGCCAAACCACACCAGGACGTAAAGTGGGTCATGAGAGGTCTATGTGCCAAGTTTGGTCCTGATCAGTCATTGGATGAGGTTAACAGCGGTCTCAGAATGTGAGTGATGGTACTGCAAGTCCCATCATCCATGGTTCATCCTCCTCCAAACTGCAGTAGGATGTAGAGTGGGTTTGGGCTCTGTGTGCCAAGTGTGGTCTGTATTGGTAATTGTCTGACCCAGCCCCCGGCCTTTTCCTTTCCTCTCTTTGTCATCTCGGAATCTTGGAGTTGAGGCTGGCCAATCAGAGACCATATGCAAATTTCCTTCTCATGTCCCCGTTTCTGCCATGAACTCTTTTCTCCACCAGGGGCTCCTATTGAAGCTGGCCAATCCATATGCAATCCAGAGCAGAGAACGAGGCCCTAAGATAACTATCCACCACACTTGGCTGTGAAAAACAATCCTTTTTTATTGAAGAAAAATGGTTACAAAATAAAGGAAAAATGCAAGTCAAAAGCCACAGCAAAATCAGCAAACATGAATTTAAATGGACAAAGCAAAACCAAAAGCCTCACTGGGAAATACTGGAACCTGTTAGCAATCCACTAACCGTACTTGATATCCTAGAAATCTTCCCAAACTATGGCCAGGGAACCGGGAGAACTGCCAAGGTCTTCATCAATTCTGAAACGATGCCTGAACTGAGACAGTCAGCCCGGCGTAAGGCAATTAAAACTCAAGAATTGGTTCCGTGAACCGCCCTTCTTTTTGAAGCCAATGTTTTTAATTCTTGAATTCGGGAGGATCGACGCAAACTGAGTGATTTACTTCTGTCTTCCCAAATTTGGCCCCTTCTGTTGTCATTACAGTTAACAGGTGCAGAAGGGAGGGAAAGTTCAAGGTCTCCCTCTGAAACATTCTCAGGAACACTGGTACTTTCATTTTCCAAATCTACAGAAGTTCCTTCCTCACTAATTTCAGGAGCATTGGCATCAAAAGGTACATTTCCACTAGCATCAGTAAATATACTTTCATTAGCATCAGGAGGAACAAACAGAGAATCAGGTTCAAGTTCAAACTCAGGCTGAACCCCAACACTCAGAGTGATTGTCAATGATGCAATCCTGAGTTTGGGTTGGGTCAATTAGTTGGTAACCAATCAAGGATTACTATGTGTAAATGTATTGTAAATGTATTGTATATAAGGAAACCATGTACAATGTATACTCCCCCCTTGATGTTGTGCTGTTGTGCTGTTGTGATGTTATTCGTCAAAGACTATAAAAGAACCTGTCTACTTGGACAAGATACTGCGTACTATGGTGAGTCTGTAATATCTAGACTGGGGGAAAGACAATGGTAAAAACTGATAATGGCTGGGCATGTGCTCAAGTGTCTACTGTGGAAGCAGAAGACTGAAAAGTGCTGAGCAGGAGGAAAGCTGCTGGAACGCGCTGAGGCTGTGCGAGTGTGAAGTTAACTCGTATCATAATATGTCCCATCATAATTTGCACGGAGAAGCCATCAATATAATTAAGGCATTTGCACAGGAGAGGAAGGGCACATGGGGTTTCCCACTAAATAGGAAGAAATTGATACATTGGATATTGGCATTGCACGTGCTTACAACTACACAGCGCCCCACTATAATTTGCACAGAAAGGCCATCAATATAATTAAGGCATAGGCACAGAAAGAAGAGGGAGCACATGGGTTGCGGCTCAGGCAGCGTCCCCCCCTCTCTCGGGATCTTCGGCGTTGCCACAGGGAGGGGGTGTTTCCTGCTCCTCAAGGGCACTGTAGTAATCCACCTTGGCCTGCAAGAAGGAGGAGGAGAAAGAGAAAACAGCATCAGAAGGAAGGATCTTTGCCCACTTCCTGTGTAATTGTGTAATGCACAGATATCTATGGCAACAACCAACAAAACAACAATGTATGTGCATGACTCGCAAAACTCTGCCTCAGAGTAGGTTACTTCATGCTGTATTACTATGTCAAAAAGACTTCAAAATTCACAGTAGTAAAAGTAAAAATTCTCATATTATAATTCAACTAAGGATATACTATCCACGAAATAAGTAACAGACATAAAGAAAAGCATATAGAAACAACCAGTCCTAATAAGTCCTGGAGCTGTGAAAGGCCTTGAGTCCTTGAATTACTCTGAATGAATCATAAAGTCTCTTAAGTTTTTGGAACTTTTGTGGGCAATCATAGGTGTGCTTTGGCATCCCGGGATGTCTTGTACCAAATGCCACTCTCCTACCACATTCCAAAAACAGACTGTTAAGGGTCACACTAGATGTGCCCATTGTGACTGCTGTTCTCAATCTTTGAAAGGCAAAACATTTCACATCCTACATTAAATATCAACATTACCTTACATCATTTCACCACATGTTCTACCAGTAAAGTTGTTTATGTAATTCAATGTCCTTGCAAATTACTATATGTTGGGATGACCATTAGACCCCTGAAAATCAGAATAAGTGAACATCGCTCTCGAATAAGGAATGGGTCCACTGACTCCTCATTATATGTACATTTTCAAGAAAAAGCACACACATACCATACGTTTAAATTTTGTGCTTTGGAGAAAGTATCACCCAAACCTAATGCAGATGTCAAAAGATGCCTATTTAAGAGAGTCATTTGGGATTTTCAAACTACAAACACTTTCCCCTCAAGGGCTTAATGATAGAATAGATTACACTTGTTTTCTGTAAGATGCAGTCTTACTTAAGAGCCATTCTGGTACTATCACATTTGCTCGTTACAGAACTCCATTCACAACAGAGCCAAAGCTACTAACAGGTATGTAAGTAGACAAGCGTGGGTATCGAAACTTCTTTTAAACATTGGTAATTTGGGGACGTTAATATATCTACTATCTGTATGTTGCTTTATTTCTTACCTAGTGTACCCAAGCATTATAGATAAAGACAGGCATTCACAACAGAGCCAAAGCTACTACCAGGAATGTAAGTAGACAAGCGTGTGTATACATTTTTTTTCAAAACAATGTTAATTTGGGGATTTTAGTGCATCTATTTTCTATATGTTGCTTCATGTCTTATTTAGTGTACTCAAGCATTATAGATAAGACTGGCATAACACTCCTGGCATTACGAGTTATTGAAGAATCTACTTTAATGTAGAAGTCGTTATTTTGGAAGCGGAAGTGTTGCTGTTCTTGGCGTTACAAGTTAATGAAAAATCTCCTTTAATATAGAAGTCATTATTTTGGAAGCTGGATTTTTTTTTTTACTACCACTGGTATTGGACTCACTTCTTGGGTAATGCTCGAAGCCCCCAAAGCCGCCCCCCTCCCCCCCGGCTACATGCTGGTCCTCAGGTACTTTGTATAGAAAGGGGTTGTCCATAAGAAGCACAGGCCCAGCAAGGAAGGTGATAGGAGAAGAGAACAGAGTGACAGGCAAACCAAGGGCTTTTCTCTGCCAACTATCCATGTCTCTTGATGAGGACTACAAACTTGTGCCAGGCTGTGTTTGCTCAGGTGTGGCTGCTGGAAGCAAACAAGCATCAGTGTTTGTATCTAGCGCAATGAAGGACAGAAGGAGCCCGGTGGTGAAGATTCCCATGTCTTGGATTCCCATGTTTCCTAGATCTGTGTAGTTCGAGGTGTTTTGCTTCCTGCCAGCATTGAGAGGCTACTTTCCCCTCCCTCTAACATGAAAATACCATTGCAGGTAAATGTGAATTTAATATGATGTGTGGGAATGAATGGAACAAGTACATTTTAAATGTGCACTGTACCTTGTTTAATGTTATTGTTTTATTTTAAATTGCTTGTATTGTTATTGTTTGTATTGCTGTATTTTGGGCTCGGCCTCATGTAGGCCGCACCGAGTCCATTGGGGAGATGGTAGCGGGGTATAAATAAAGTATTATTATTATTATTATTATTATTATTATTATTATTATTATGAAAGGAGAATTGAGTTGATAATTTTGGAAACACCAGTAAAAGATTAAGGCCCGCAATGACTGAACCTGCTTGCTGAACTGTAATTAAAAGTTGCTAATAAGAACTGAAAGGTAAACTCGGATAAAAACCGTGACAATGATAACACAAATGTTTACAACATTCCTTATGTTAAGAAGGAAGTCAACACAAGGCTAACACTAATCAAGAAGAATCAGCATCTGGCCAGGAAACTGAGATGGAGCCAGGATGGAAGACGTCTATCATTAATTTACAACTTTGAGACGGCATCAGCAGAATATTCCTATAAAAGACTCAGTCTAATAATGCTCAATTGTGACAGAATGCAGGAGTCTGTTCCACCCGCCATGCTCTGCTCCAGGGGAAGGAGAGAAATCGTGTACCTATGGGGAGTGGCAGATTTGCACGGGAGAAGCCTGGTCACTTTGGGGCTTCTTTCTCAAGGGAAGACTCTTCCCAAAGTCAGGTAACTCTTTTCTATCTACTCTTTTTATCTGCAACACTACAAGTCAGGTTTTCTTGCCTTTCTTTTTAACCTCCTGAGTATTTTCCCTCCTGTTTGTCACTGTAAGCTCATATACATGGTACTCGTAGGTTTTCAGGAGTAGGAGGGCTGGTCCACTCAGGGCTAATCCAAGGCTTCTTCCTCTGCGGAGGTCAGGTCTCCTCTTCTACGCTTGCTTTAGTCCTCCCTGCGATGTGTTGCAAAGGCTCCCAAGAGACTCAGTGGTCTCTCACAAACAGACCTCCTCCTTTCCTCATTCCCTCCGTCCTTCCCTCTGCCTCAATTACCCAGAAGCGGCGGCACAGGAGCCGGAGGCCGTATCCCAGGCCGAACAGGGAAATCAGAATGGCAACACCGGCAAAGACGAGGAGAATGATCCGCACTCCAACGTTGAACATCTGGAGGGAGAAAGACACAGAATGGATCGGGAATAAGATCAAACCACCCACTAGCAACAATTGCCCGCCATGTTCCGAAACATAGTTTTCGTGTAGCGGTGTTTCTGAGCCGGAGTGTGTCCAACCACCCCACCCAAAGCAAAAGGATTTAAGCCCATTCCTGCCAGTGTGCCCATTGCAGGACTTCCAGAAGGTTGTGCAGCCTGTCGAGGCATGGAGGGCCTCAGTCCAGCCCAGAAGGTGCCCACCCCCCAATTGCTCACCATGAATGATCCCACAAACGCCTTGCACTTGCTACTGTCCTCTTTGGGGATGTAGCTCTGAGTCACCTCCGGCCATCCTTGGGGTCTTCTCTCCAGGTTCTGGCACATAGTGTCAGTAATATACCAGGATTCGCCTTGTAAGAACCTGATTTCGTTCAGGGTTACCACGAAACCCACGGAGCCGGTCACCACACTGGCCAGGTTGAAGAAGGTGGCCACAGGGACCTGGAGCAGGACGTTGAGGACAAGGGGAGCACAAAGGAAGAGCGTGAGGAAGAGGAGTGTGTGAGGTGGAGCAGCGGTACGGCAAAATTAAGGCCAGGGTCATAGAATCCTCCATTTGGAAGACTCTCCAAGGGCCATCTAGTCCAACCCCATTTCGCCAGGTAGAAATCCACAATCAAAGCCCTAGGGACAGATCCAGCCTCTGCTTCAAAACATCCAGAGAAGAAGACTCCACCACACATCATCAACATCGTTATTGTTGTTGTTAACTTGATTAATCCCCCACACCTTTCTGCCCATAAGGACTCAATAGTGGCTAATCCACTCTTCAACATAATCTGCTATTGAACAGCTCTAGCCGTCAGGAAGTTCTTCCTAATGTTCAGGTGGGAACCTTGAACCCATGGCTCCATTGAGAGCCCGTCTCCAGAGCAGCAGAGAACATGCTTTTGTATTGTCAAAGGCTTTCATGGCCAGAATCACTGGGTTGTTGCAGGTTTTTTGGGGCTGTATGGCCATGTTCCAGAAGCATTCTCTCCTGACGTTTCGCCTGCATCTCTGGCAGGCATCCTCAGAGGTTATGAGGTCAGTTGGAAACTAGGAAAATTGGGTTTATCTATCTGAACATGCTTTTCTCCCTCCTCAATAGGGCATCCTTTCACAGATTTGAATATGGCTCTCATGGCCCCTCATAACCCTCTCTTCTCCAAGATCAGCATCTGCAGCTCCTCAGCTGCTCCTCAAAGGGATCTTTGGCTTCCAAGCCTTGGACCATTTTTGTGGTCCTTCTCTGGACCTTTCCATCTTGCCCATCTCCTTCTTGAATGGCTTTGCCCAGAACTGGTGAGGAGGTCTGACCAAAGCAGAAGAACAGAGTGGGACTCGCACTTCCCTTGATCAAGAACATGAGAATTTTGTGGATGCAGCCCAGAATCGCATGGGCGTTTTGTGCTCAGTTGATGGTCTACTAAGACACTGAGATCCCTTCCACATATACCAAGCTGCTCCTCATGGGAATGGTCTTCCAGGCCATTTAGGTCACCCTCCTCTGGACATTGTCCAAGTTCCTTCTCAAATCGTGATGCATTGGGCACAGTATGCCAGCCTCCGATCCTGGGACTCTCCCCACAAGAAGGGCATCCTCCCCCCCCCCCCCCCCGCATCCCTTTTACTCACCCAGAAACCCCCACGTCTGGCTCCCACCACAGAAAAGATGCCTGCGACGATGAACTGCGAAGGAAAGAAACTGCAAAGTAAGCTAAACCCCTCCTCTCCTTCATTTCAGATGCCCCCTCCCTTGTGACGTAAGGCCAACCCCCCCACCCCCACCCCTCCACTCCCAGGACAGCTTTCTTCCCAGTTCAGTTCCATCCACAAGATGCCCAGTTGGAAGATCTCTCCCAAGTTCAGTAAAAAATTGCTCTCTTTTATTCTGGTGCCACTAATGGGAGTGATATACACCCCCCCCCCCAAAGTAAGGGATAGTGACTTATAGTTCTGCAAAGGGCAAGGGCACCAGACTACACAACAAGGGTTAAGTCTTGGTCACATTGCCAAGGCACTGACAACAACAAGGACCCCACGAGGCTTTTGGGAAATGGCTGGATCTTGGGACTTCTGCCCTTTTGTGAGAGTTGTAGTTTCCCAAGGACCAAAGTGTGAATCAGTTGCAGCACAGCTGGGGTTTCATCTGCCAGCCTTCCCAATGATCATGGACTCTCTGCCTGCATGTCTTAGACTTCAGTACATACTATCTCCCTCATGAACTTTCCTTAAAGACCTTTTAAAACATTGGACTTCAGGCTTCTTTATGACAATTGATCCTCTTATTAAATATACTTGGGATGTGGGACAAATATGGGGTTTTGTTGCTATGAAAATGCTCATGATTTGAATGTATGTATCTTGCTATGAAACACTGCTTGTCCCCCTGTCTTACCCCCTGACCCTTGCCCTAAAAAAAATGTGTGGCCCAGGACTGTTGAAATGCCTGAGGCAGGAACCCCTGCCTCCCTTGAAACTCTTTTGTTGATCAACTCATCTGCATGAAACAATAGCCGTGTCTTCTTTATCTCATTCTCTGAGCATGTCTGATGGGAGAAGGAAGTTCATGAGGACAAGGAAGAAAATAATTGAAATTACAATGGGGCAACGTTGACCCCCTGGAGGTCCGTCGCCCCAATCCTGTTTGTTTTTCTCCCAAAACTCATCAAGGATAGGAAAGCCTTTCAGATGAAGATTGCGCCTCGCCAACCAAAAACAAAGCCTCAGCTGGCTGGCAAATCTGTAATCCCATCATTTCCCCCATTGCCCGCAGTCGTCCCGCCCTGCTCCCTTCTGATTCGTCCATCCCCAGAAGCAAGGAAAGCCTGCTGATTGGCCCAGGGCAAGGCGGGCCGCCAAGCCTCCTCCCAGCTGTTCGGGCTGTCAGCCAATCAGCGCGAAGCCGGGCGGAGAGGGGCGGGCGGGAATTTCAAAAGGTTTTGCTGTATTTTCTCTATAAAAATGCCAGTAAATTCTGTATTGGTATGCTTGTGGTGGAATGATTCCTGCAATGCATCTGATCTCAGCTGAATCGCTAATAAAATACCTTGGTCGCTTGAAAAAAACTTCTTCCACTTTGGTGAGGATTTATTATTTTAAATATTTCATCGCTCAAATTGGCTTCGCCTGGCCTCACCAAGGTTTAAGGACTCTCTTTGGTGCAGTCCTCAGGGATCTCCTCTGTTGGGGAGACCCTCCTAAAAACAGCTCGATATCAGGAGCACCCCCCCCCAGAAATCCCCACTGGCCACCCCCACCCACCCCCCATATACACACACATACTCACCACACTCCCCATCCAGAAGGCGCATCCATTCTGGACGATGTAGAAGGGCACGTAGGCGTAGATGTCCACTTGATGGATGCCCGCCAGGATCTCTAAGCCCAGGGCCAGGCAGACTGCGCCAAGGAGGATCTGGGCCCCCTGCAAGGCCAAGCAAAGGAAGGCTGGGCACCTGGGAAGGGCGGCATGGAAGGGACCCCAGCCCCAAACCAATGCAGACTGACCCTGCTTCAGGTGTGTGCCGATTTGGCCTTCAAGAACAGCCGTAATACAACGTTGAAAGTCAATGAAAAGTGCTTTACTTCAGCAAACACAAGAGAACAGCACACGCAGTTGAAAAATGCAAAAGAAAGCAAGTGTTGCACTCCAGAAACGGGAAGAGCCCTCTGGCTTTAAAACACTACACGTTGAGTAGGAAAAACAATCCTTTTCATTGAAGATAAGTAAAAACAGCAAAGTAGAAAAACCCAAAGAGCTCAAAAGGACTTAGTTAGAATCATAGAATCATAGAATCAAAGAGTTGGAAGAGACCTCATGGGCCATCCAGTCCAACCCCCTTCTGCCAAGAAGCAGGAATATTGCATTCAAATCACCCCTGACAGATGGCCATCCAGCCTCTTGTTTAAAAGCTTCCAAAGAAGGAGCCTCCACCACACTCTGGGGCAGAGAGTTCCACTGCTGAATGGCTCTCACAGTCAGGAAGTTCTTCCTCATGTTCAGATGGAATCTCCTTTCTTGTAGTTTGAAGCCATTGTTTCCAGGGAAGCCTCGAGGGCAGCAGAAAACAAGCTTGCTCCCTCCTCCCTGAGATTTCCTCTCACGTATTTATACATGGCTCTCATGTCTCCTCTCAGACTTCTCTTCTTCAGGCTAAACATGCCCAGCTCTTTAAGCCGCTCCTCATAGGGCTTGTTCTCCAGACCCTTGATCATTTTAGTCACCCTCCTCTGGACACATTCCAGCTTGTCAATATCTCTCTTGAATTGTGGTGCCCAGAATTGGACACAATATTCCAGGTGTGGTCTAACCAAAGCGGAATAGAGCATGGGGAGCATGACTTCCTTAGATCTAGACACTAGGCTCCTCTTGATGCAGGCCAAAATCCCATTGGCATTTTTTGCCACCACATCACATTCCTGGCTCATGTTTAACTTGTTGTCCACGAGGACTCCAAGATCTTTTTCACACGTACTGCTCTCGAGCCAGGCATTGTCCCCCATTCTGTATCTGATAAGCAGGAACAAATTAGTCCAAGATATGGTTCAGCAAAGTTCAAAAACAAAGTCCAGACTTTTCTAATAAAATCCAGAGAAACAGGAAAACATTGATCCAAGGCATGACTAGGTAATCACAAGAGACAAAGAGTCAAACCGTTCAGCAAGAAGTCCTTAAACGTTCCAGGCGAGGCTTTCATGAGACAAGAACAAGAACTTAGTAGAGATCTGAAACAATGCTTCATCTGACTATATTTCCCATGGTTGGAACTTTATATCCCCTCATTAAGACTCAGAAATTGGTTTCGCTTTCCCTGAATGCTTCTCGTCCTTATCTAACAAAGTCTGGCCAAACACCGAAGGCCTTGGCCAAGCTTTCGGGGTATATGGCCATGATCTAGAAGCATTCTCTCCTGACGTTTTGCCTGCATCTATGGCAGGCATCCTCAGATATTGTGAGGTCTGTTGGAAACTAGGAAAATTGGGTTTATTTATCTGTGGAATAATGTCCAGGGTGGGACAAAGAACTCTTGTCTGTTGAAGGAAGGGGGGAATGGTTCAATTGACCACCTTGATTAGCATTTGATGGCCTTGCAGTTGTTTGATGTGGCTTGTTAGTGCCTGGGGGAATCCTTTGTTTGGAGGTGATTAACTGTCCTTGATTGTTTCCTCTCTGGAGTTTCCCTGTGGTTGAGTGTTGTTTTGCTGTTATAATTTTAGAGATTTTTAATACTGGTAGCCAGATTTTGTTCATTTTCTGGTTTATTCCTTTCTGTTGAAACAGTCCACGCTCAAAACTCTAAAATTATAACAGTGAATAAAAAAACAAAACTCAAACACAGGGGAACCCCAGACAAGAAACAATGAGGGACAGCTAATCACCTCTCAACAAAAGATCCCCCCAGGCAGTAACAAGCCACACCTTGAAACTTTCAGGCCATCAAATGCTAATCAAGGTGGTCAATTGAAACTTTCATCCCTAGCTCCAACAGGCAAGAGTTCTTTCCCCCACCCTGGACCTTCCACAGATATATAAACCCAATTTTCTTAGTTCCAACAGACGTCACAACCTCTGAGGATGCTTGCCACAGATGCAGGCGAAACGTCAGGAGAGAACGCTTCTAGAACACGACTATACAGCCCGAAAAACCTACAACAACCCTTAGGCTGTTAGGAATGGTAGGGGTTGAAGTCCAGAACACTTGGAGGGCCACAGTTTGCCCATGCCTGGTCTAGACAGTAGACACCTTTTGATGCAGCCCAGCATCCCATTGGCTTTTTCAGCTGCTGCATCACACTCTTGGCTCATGCTCAGAGCAAGCTGAGGAAGGGGTGAGTGCACCGTTCCTTTTAGAATACAGCCTGAGTGTGCTGCGACCCACAACTCCCCAATCAGCAGGGATGTGGGCTCCACACAGGCAACACCTAAGAATATAAGATTCTCAAGTCTTCAGCATTGTTGCAGGTGGAAAACACTTTCCTTTGTGGCGTAATTCTGGACTCTATCGGCCTTGTTGACTCAGGACTCTCCCTTGGCTTCTGTGTTTTGCATTTCGCTTTCAATCGCTGCCTCTGCTGTCTTCGGCTTTGTTGTCTTTGGACTGGATTTCTGGTTGCTGTTTGTTGCTGTATAGACTTTGGGTGTGACCACGCTAGTCTGGACTCTGAACCTGGAATTGATCTCACACGCGATGGCTAGCCTGCGCTAACACTATCAAGCCCAAAAGGACTTCTGTTGTGGGCTGCCAAGGTGTTCATATTGGAACTTGGTTTGAGTCTTATGTTGCTTGTCTAACAGTGTTTCTTAACTGGGGGGTTAGGACCCCTGGGGGGGTTGCGAGGCGGTGTCACAGGGGTCACCAAAGACCATCAGAAAACACAGTATTTCCTGTTGGTTATGCAAGTTCTATGTGGGACGTTTGGCCCAATTCTCTCATTGGTGGGGTTCAGAATGCTCTTTGATTGTAGGTGAACTATAAATCCCAGCAACTACAATTCCCAAAGTCAAGGTCTATTTTCCCCAAACTCCACCAGGATTCACATTTCAGCATATTGAGTACCATGCCAAGTTTGGTCCAGATCCATCCTTGTTTGAGTCCACAGTGCTCTCTGGAGGTAGGTGAACTACAACTTCCAAACTCAAGGTCAATGCCCACCAAGCCCTTCCAGTATTTTCTGTTGGTCATGGGAGTTCTGTGTGCCAGGCTTGGTTCAATTCCATGTTGGTGGAGTTCAGAATGCTCTTTGATTGTAGGTGAACTATAAATCCCAGCAACCACAACTTGCAAATGTCAAGGTCTATTTACCCCAAATTCCACCAGTGTTCACATTTGGGCATATTTGGGTATTCATGCCAAGTTTGGTCCAGATCCATCATTGTTTGAGTCCATAGTGCTCTCTAGATGCAGGTGAACTACAACTCCCAAACTCAAGGTCAATGCCCACAAAACCCTTCCAGTATTTTCTGTTGGTCATGGGAGTTCTGTGTGCCAAGTTTGGTTCAATTCCATGTTGGTGGAGTTCATAATGCTCTTTGATTGTAGGTGAACTATAAATCCCAGCAACTACAACTCCTAAAGTCAAGGTCTATTTTCCCCAAACTCCACCAGTGTTCACGTTTGGGCATATGGAGTATTCGTGCCAAGTTTGGTCCAGATCCATCATTGTTTGAGTCCACAGTGCTCTCTGGATGTAGGTGAACTACAACTCCAAACCTCAAGGTCAACGCCCACCAAATCCAGTATTTTCTGTTGGTCATGGGAGTTCTGTGTTTGGTTGGTGGAGTTCATAATGCTATTTGATTGTAGGTGAGTTATAAATCCCAGCAACCACAACTCGCAAATATCAAGGTCTATTTTCCCCAAACTCCACCAGTGTTCGCATTTGGGCATATTGAGTACCATGCCAAGTTTGGTCCAGATCCATCACTGTTTGAGTCCACAGTGCTTTCTGGAGGTAGGTGAACTACAACTCCCAAACTCAAGGTGAATGCCCACCAAACCCTTCCAGTATTTTCTGTTGGTCATAGGAGTTCTGTGTGCCAAGTTTGGTTCAATTCCATGTTGGCAGAGTTCATAATGCTCTTTGATTGTAGGTGAACTATAAATCCCAGCAACAATAACTCCTAAAGTCAAGGTCTATTTTCCCAAAACTCCACCAGTGTTCACATTTGGGCATATTGAGTACCATGCCAAGTTTGGTCCAGATCCATCATTGTTTGAGTCCACAGTGCTTTCTGGAGGTAGGTGAACTACAACTCCCAAACTCAAGGTTAATGCCCACCAAATCCTTCCAGTATTTTCTGTTGGTCATAGGAGTTCTGTGTGCCAAGTTTGGTTCAATTCCATGTTGGTGGAGTTTGGAATGCTCTTTGATTGTAGGTGAACTATAATTCCCAGCAACTACAATTCCCAAATGACAAAATCAATGCCTTCCCCACTCCAAATTTGGGCATATCAGGTATTGGTGCCAAATTTGGTCCAGTGAATGAGAATACATCCTGCATATCAGATATTTACATGACGATTCATAACAGTAGCAAAATGACAGTTGTGAAGTAGCATCGGAAATAATTTTCTGGTTGGGGGTCACCACAACATGAGGAACTGGATTAAGGGGTTGCAGCATTAGGAAAGTTGGGAACCATGGGTCTAACATGACACAGAGCATCCAAGCCAAGAGCTTAAAGGTAAAGGTAAAGGTTTTCCCTTGACATGAAGTCTAGACGTGTCCGACTCAGGTGCGCATCTACATTTCTAAGCTGAAGAGCCAGCGTTGTCCGTAGACACCTCCAAGGCCATGTGGCCACTGGCAGGACTGCATGGAGTGCCYTTACCTTCCCGCAGAAGGAGCGATACCTATTGATTTACTCACATTTGCATGTTTTTGAACTGCTAGGTTGGCAGAAGCTGGGGCTGACAGCGGGAGCTCACGCCGCTCCCCGGATTCAAACCRGTGACCTTTCGGTCAGCAAGCTCAGTAGCTCAGCAGTTTAACCCACTGRGCCACCAGTGAGCTTAATGTAGCCCAATTCCCACCRAGAGRTTGTGGAGAGARGCCTCTGAGCATGTCCAGAGTGCTCTGCCCTCACTCGCAAATCCAAATCCCCATGCTGATGAATTACCCCTYCCCCATGAGAACCCCAAGCCCRGTCTCACTTGACCCCCACTCRTCTCGCGCCCCTCTCTCTATCCGCTCCTTACCCCCAGCACTTTCTGCTCTCCGTCACATCCGGCCCTGGCCCTGGGTCCATCCTTGGGGGCCAAAGGGGTCTCGGTCACCCCGGTTTCCTTGGGTGGCGAGGGGCGCCGGATGTGCTGCACGGCCTTCCAAAAGGAGGTCAGGCAGGACTCCTGGTTGATGTGGATGTGGATGGTGGTGGGGCCACTCTTGTCGCCACTGCCCTCCAGGGTCACCTTGGCAGACCCCTCCTCTGTATTGGCCGTGCTGGGGAGACCCATGGCACCCGATGAGGTCTTGTGAGGACAAGGAGAAGGTCCTGAAGGAGAGAGACACAGAGAGAGGCGGGTTGTGAACACAACAGAGAGGAGAAATTAAAAGAAATGGGTTTGAGGTCATAACAGGAAGCATTTCGCAGCTGTCGAAGGCGTTTGTGGCCAGAATCACTGGGTTGTTGTAGGGTTTTTCGGACTATATGGCCATGGTCTAGAGGCATTCTCTCCTGACGTTTCGCCTGCATCTATGGCAAGCATCCTCAGAGGTAGTGAGGTCTGTTGGAACTAAGGAAAAAGGGTTTATATATCTGTGGAATGACCAGGGTGGGACAAAGGACTCTTGTCTGCTGGAGCTAGGTGTGAATGTTTCAACTGACCACCTTGATTAGCATATAATGGCCTGACAGTGCCTGGAGCAAACTCAAAAATTACAACAGCACAACAACAGAGAGGAAACAAAAAAAAAAAAGACATCTAATCACCTCTCAATAAAAGTTTGCTCCAGGCACTGTCTGGCCATTATATGCTAATCAAGGTGGTCAGTTGAAACATTCACACCTGGTTCCACCCTGGCCATTCCACAGATATATAAACCCCTTTTTCCTAGTTCCAACAGACCTCACAACCTCTTGAGGATGCTTGCCATAGATGCAGGCGAAATGTCAGGAAAGAATGCCTCTAGACCATGGCCATACAGCTCGAAAAAACCTACAACAACCCATTTCGTAGCTCTTTGGGCCAGAGCAAGAGCAAATCTAAACCAGGCTCAGGTCAAGCCAGAGTTCAGTTAACTGACTAGAGCAGGCAAGGGCAAACTTTCTAACCTGCTAGAAGTGTTTGCCTTGGTGATGGATGGATGGATGGATGGCAGGAAGGGAAGAGGGAAGGAAGGAAGGACAAAAGGGGAAGGAAGATGGAGGAAAAAGGAAGGAGGGGGAAGAGAAGAGGAAGAAAGACAAAAGGAAGGAAAGAAGGAAGAGAAGAGAAAGGGAGAAAGGGAGGAAAGAGAAGAAGGAAGGAAAAAAGGAGGAAGGAGGAAAGGAGAAGGAAAGGAGGAGGAAGGAAGGGAAGAGGGAAGGAAGACAAAAGGGGGGACAGGAAGGATGGGAGGAGAAAAGGAAGGAGGGAGGAAAGAGAGGAGGAAGCAAAGACAAAAGTGAAGGAAAGAAGGAAGCAAGCAAGTAGAAAGGGAGAAAGGGAGGAAAGAGAAGAAGGAAGGAAAAAAGGAGGGAAGGAGGAAAGGTTAGAAGGAAAGGCAACGAGAGAGAGGAAGGAAGGGAGGAGGAAGGAAGAGCAAAAGGGAGGACAGAAGGAAGGAAGGAGAGAAGAAGGAGGGAGGAAGAGGAAGGAAGGAAGACAAAAGGGAAGGAAGGATAAAGAAAAGAAAGAGACAGAAGGGAGAAAGAAGGAAGAGAAGGAAAAGGGGAGAAGAGGGAGGAAAGAGAGAAGAGAGAAGAAAAAGGGAGGAAGATGGAAGGAGAAAGAGGGAGTGGGAAGGAGGGAGGAGAGAGGGAAGGAAGGAAGGACAAAAGAGTGGAAGGGAAGGATAGAGAGGAAGAAAAAGAAAAGGAAGGAGAAGAAAGAGGAGAGAGGAAGGAAGGAAGGACAAAGAGGAAGGGAAGAAGGGGAAGGAAGGAGAGAAGGAGGAAAGACAAAAGGGAAGGAAAGAAGGAAGAAAGCAAGGACCTGGAGAGAGGAGAAAGAGAAGAAGGAAGGACAAAAAGGAGGGAAGGACAAAAGGTTGGAAGGGAAGGATGGATGGATAGGAAGGAGGGGAGGAGGAAGGAAGGACAAAAAGGAGGAAGGGAAGGATGCAAAGAGAGAGGGAAGGAAGCAAAGACAAAAGGAAAGGAAGGATGAAGGAAGGAAGGGAAGGATAAAGGAAGGAGAGAAGGAAGGAAGGACAAAAGGGAAGGAAAGAAAGAAGCAAGTAGAAAGAGGGAGAGAGGGAGGAAAGAGGGAAGAAGGAAAGGCAAAAGGGAGGGAAGGATGAAAGGTTGGAAGGAAGAAGAAAAAAGGGAAGGAGGAGGAAAGAGAGAGAAAGGAGAAGGGAGGGAGGGAGGAGGAAGAAAAGAAGGAGGGGGGAGGAAAGGGAAGAAGGAAGGAAGGAAGGAGAAGGAGAGAAGGAAGGGAAGCATGAGAAGAATTGAAGGAGATAGGGATGGAGGGAGGAAAGAGAGAAGGAAGGAAACAAAAGGGAAGGAAGGAGAAGGAAGGAGAAAGATAAAGGAAAGAAAGGAAGGAAGGAAGCAAGTGAAAGAGGGAGAGTGGGAGGAAAGAAAAAAAAGGAGGGAAGGATGAAATGTTGGAAGGGAAGAATATAAAGAAGGGAAGGAGGAAGGAAAGAGAGAAGGAACGAAGGATGAAAGGGTGGAAAGAGAATGGGGGAAGAAAGAGGGAGGAGAGGGAGAAAAGAGAGAAGGAAGAAAACAGAAAGGGGAAGAAAGGAGAGAGGGAAGGAAGGAAGGACAAAAGGATGGAAGGGAAGGCGGAAGGAAGGAGAGAAGGAACGAAGGATGAAAGGGTGGAAGGGAATGGGGGGAGAAAGAAAGGGAGGAGAGGGAGAAAAGAGAAAGAAGAAAACAGAAAAGGGAAGGGAGGAAGGAGAAAGAAAGGAAGGTGGAAGGAAAGGAGGAGAAAGAAAGAGGGAGGAGAGAGAGAAAAGAAAGAAGGAAGAAAACAAAACAGAAGGAAGGAAGGAGAAAGAAGAGAGGAAAGGAAGAAAGGACGAAAGGGAAGGAGGAAAGATGGAGAGAAGGAACGAAGGATGAAAGGGTGGAAGGGAATGGGGAGAAAGAAAAAGGGAGGAGAGAGAAAAAAAGAGAGAAGGAAGAAAACAGAAGGAAGGAAGGAAGGAAGGAAGGAAGGAAAAGAAGAAGAGAGGAAAGGACGAAAGGGAAGGAGGAAAGAAGGAGAGAAGGAACAAAGGATGAAAGGGTGGAAGGGAAGGAGGAAGGAAGGAGAGAAGGAATGAAGGGTGGAAGGGAAGGGGGGAAAAGAGAGAAGGAAAAAAAAAGAAAAGGAAGGAAGGTGGAAGGGAAGGAGGAGGAGGAAAAAGAGGTGGAAGGGAATGGGGAGAAAGAAAGGGAGGAGAGGAGAAAAGAGAGAAGGAAGAAAACAGAAAAGGGAAGGAAGGAAGGAGAGAGGGAAGGAAGGATGAAAGGGTGGAAGGGAAGTGGGGAAGAAGGAGAAAAGGAATGAAGGGTGGAAGGGAATGGGGAGAAAGAAAGAGGGAGGAGAGGGAGAAAAGAGAGAAGAAAGAAAATAGAAAGGGACAGACGGAAGGAAGGATGGAAGGGTGAAAGGGAATGGGGAGGAAGGAAAAAGAAGGAGAGAGGGAAGGAAGGAAGGACGAAAGGGTGGAAAGGAAGGAGGAAGGAAGGAGAGAAGGAACTAAGGATGAAAGGGTGGAAGGGAATGGGGGGAGAAGAAAGGAGAGAAGGAAGGAAAAGAAGAGGAAGAGAAGAATGGAAGGAAGGGATGGTGGAAGGGAATGGAGAGAAGGAGAGGAAAGAAATGAAAAAAGAAAAAAAAAAAAGGAAAGGAAGGAGAAAGGAGAAGGAGAAGGGGGAAGGGAAGGAGGAAAGGAAGAGAAAGGAAGAAGGGGAAGAAAGAGGAGAAAGAAAGAGGAGAGAGGGAGGAAGGAAGAAAAGAAGGAAAGAAGGAAGGAAGGAAGGAAGGGAGGAAGGAAGGAGGAAGGAAGGAAGGAAGGAAGGAAGAAAGAAAGAGGGAGAAGGAAAAGGAGAAGGAAGAAAAAGCGAAGGAAGGAAAGAGAGAAGGAACGAAGGATGAAAGGGTGGAAGGGAATGGGGAGAAAGAAAGAGGGAGGAGATGGAGAAAAGAGAGAAGGAAGAAAACAGAAAAGGGAAGGAAGGAAAGAGAGAGGGAAGGAAGGATGAAAGGGTGGAAGAGAAGAAGGAGAGAAAAAAGAAAGGAAGGGAGGAGGAAGGAAGGAGAGAAGAAGGAAAAGGAAGGAAGGAAGGAAGGAAGGAAGGAAGGAAGGAAGGAAGGAAGGGTGAAAGGGAATGCGGGGAAAAGAAAGAGGTAGGAGAGGGAGAAAAGAGAGAAGGAAGAAAACAGAAAAGGGAAGGAAGGAGAGAGGGAAGGAAGGATGAAAGAGTGGAAGGGAAGAAGGAAGGAGAAAAGGAACAAAGGATGAAAGGGTGGAAGGGAATGGGGGGAGAGAAAGAAAGAGGCAGGAGAGGGAGAAAAGAGAGAAGGAAGAAAACAGAAAAGGGAAGGAAGGAAGGAGAAAGAAGGAGAGAGGGAAAGTAGGAAGGATGAAAGGGAAGAAAGGAAGAGAAAAAGAAGGATGAAGGGGTGGAAGGGAATGGAGCGAGAAAGAAAGAGGGAGAAAGAAAAGAGAAGGAAGAAAACAGAAAGGAAAAGGAAGAGGGAAGGAAGGATGAAAGGGTGGAAGGGAAGTGAGGAAGAAGGAAAGAAGGAATGAAGGGTGGAAGTGAATGGGGGGGGAGAAAGAAAGAGGCAGGAGAGGGAGAAAAGAGAGAAGGAAGAAAACAGAAAAAGGAAGGAAGGAAGGAGAAAGAAGGAGAGAGAGAAAGTAGGAAGGATGAAAGGGTGGAAGGGAAGGAGGAAGGAAGGAAGGAAGGAAGGAAGGAAGGAAGGAAGGAAGGAAGGAAGGAAGGAAGGAAGGAAGGAAGGAAGGGTGAAAGGGAAGGGGGAAAGGAAGAGGAGGAAGGGAGGAAAAGAGAGAAGGAAGAAAACAGAAAAGGGAAGGAAGGAGAGAGGGAAGGAAGGATGAAAGAGTGGAAGGGAAGAAGGAAGGAGAAAAGGAACAAAGGATGAAAGGGTGGAAGGGAATGGGGGGAGAGAAAGAAAGAGGCAGGAGAGGGAGAAAAGAGAGAAGGAAGAAAACAGAAAAGGGAAGGAAGGAAGGAGAAAGAAGGAGAGAGGGAAGGAAGGAAGGACAAAAGGGTGGAAGGGAAGGAGAAAGGAAAGAGAAAGAATGAAGGAAAGGGTGGAAGGGAATGGGGAGAAAGAAAGAGGGAGAAGAAGAAAAGAAAGGAAGAAAACAGAAAAGGAAGGAAGGAAAGAGAGAAGGAACGAAGGATGAAAGGGTGGAAGGGAATGGGGAGAAAGAAAGAGGGAGGAGATGGAGAAAAGAGAGAAGGAAGAAAACAGAAAAGGGAAGGAAGGAAAGAGAGAGGGAAGGAAGGATGAAAGGGTGGAAGGGAAGGAGGGAGGAAGGAGAGAAGGAAGGAAGGGTAGGATGGTGAGAGAGATGAGGGCCTGAGAGAAGAGCCCAAGGGGCCTCATCCAGAGGAAGACATGACTCAGAAAATGAGGCAACAAGGGATCACTTCTCAGTGAAAGGGCTGAAGGAGTCTGCAGAGGCCTGGGATTTGGGGCAAGGCAAAGTTCTGGACTGAATTGTGACTGTGTTGCATTGTTGCATACAATGTATACCTCTCATCTGTCTATTAGTAGTAACTCTATTTATTTACTACTTTCTCTCTTTGTGGAGGCTCAAGGCGGCTTAACAACCCCATGCTTTAGTGAAGTTTTTAAAATGTTTATATCTCTATAAATAAAGTTTATCTAAAGTTTATATCTATATCAATAAAAGTCATAGTATCTACTTATCTATCTCCGTATGCATTTTCCAAGATGGCTCCTGATCCAGAGAGACCTGTGACTCCTCCAGACAACGGATCTGGCCAAGAATGCCTATGCCCATGGGTTCTGAGGCTCAGCCAAGGCAGTGGCAGGGGATGATGGGAGCTGCAGCCCACCCACATCCTTAGAGCCCTACAACCAATGCTGAATCTGGACCAAACTTGGCACATATCCCCCTCCCCATCACCAGCTCTGAATACAAGTGGGGGTCCAGAAAAGGGGTGGGGGTGATGGGAGGTGTAGTCCACCCATATTGAGCCAGGGAGCCCTATGTGGTATTTCTGAGGGGTCCAAGGCATCATTTCCCAAAGGAAATAGCATTCCTGGGCATTGCTGGGCCACTAAGCTAGCTCCCCATTAAAGGAAGGAGACCCCACCTCCAGGCTTGACGGGAAGAAAGGAAGAAAGGGAGAGGGAGGGGGGTGGGACCCCTGGAGAAGGAAGCCCCCTCCTCACCTGCAATGCCTTCCACCGAGGAAGAGAAGGAAGGGAAAAGGCAACTGCTGCTTGGCTGGATCTGGCCTTGGTCTGAAAACAAGAGGAGGAGGAGGAGGAGGAAGTGTGACGTCACCTGGTTGGGGAATTTCCCTCTCAGATTCCAGGAAGGACATCCCTCCCTCTCTCTGTCTAGGAGAGGGAGGGATGGATCCAAAGTGGCTTGGGACAGAAAGGGCAGGGTCTTTTGGACCAGATGGCCTTTGGGGGTCCCTACTGAAGGAGCCTAAAGGGCAGGATGAATCAATATGAATTGTTGTGTTCATTCGTTCAGTCGTCTCCGACTCTTCGTGACCTCATGGACCAGCCCACGCCAGAGCTCCCTGTCGGCCGTCACCACCCCCAGCTCCTTCAAGGTCAGTCCAGTCACTTCAAGGATGCCACCCATCCATCTTGCCCTTGGTCGCCCCCTCTTCCTTTTGCCTTCCACTTTCCCCAGCATAATTGTCTTCTCTAGGCTTTCCTGTCTCCTCATGATGTGGCCAAAGTACTTCAACTTTGTCTCTAGTATCCTTCCCTCCAAGGAGCAGTCGGGCTTTCTTTCCTGGAGGATGGACTGGTTGGATCTTCTCGCAGTCCAAGGCACTCTCAGAACTTTCCTCCAACACCACAGCTCAAAAGCATCGATCTTCCTTCGCTCAGCCTTCCCTAAGGTCCAGCTCTCACATCCGTAGGTGACTACAGGGAATACCATGGCTTTGACTAGGCAATGGATCTTGGTTGCCAGTCTGATGTCTCTACTCTTCACTATTTTATCGAGATTGGACATTGCTCTCCTCCCAAGAAGGAAGCGTCTTCTGATTTCCTGGCTACAGTCTGCATCCGCAGTCATCTTTGCGCCTAGAAATACAAAGTCTGTCACGGCCTCCACGGTTTCTCCCTCTATTTTCCAGTTGTCAATCATTCTTGTTGCCATAATCTTGGTTTTTTTTGATGTTTAGCTGCAACCCAGCTTTTGCGCTTTCTTCTTTCACACTTGATTAGAAGGCTCCTCAGCTCCTCCTCGCTTTCGGCCATCAGAGTGGTGTCATCTGCATATCTGAGGTTGTTAATGTTTCTTCCAGCAATTTTCACCCCAGCTTTGCATTCATCCAGCCCCGCACATCCTCGCATGATGTGTTCTGCATACAAGTTAAAAAGGTTGGGTGAGAGGATGCAGCCTTGCCGTACGCCTTTCCCAATCTTGAACCAGTCTGTTGTTCCGTGGTCAGTTCTGACTGTTGCTACTTGGTCCTTGTACAGATTCCTCAGGAGAGAGGGGAGGGGGCTTGGGATGCCCATCCCACTAAGAACTTGCCACAATTTATTATGATCCACACAGTCAAAGGCTTTAGAATAGTCAATGAGGCAGAAGTAGATGTTTTTCTGAAACTCCCTGCCTTTCTCCATTATCCAGCGGATATTGGCAATTTGGTCTCTCGTTCCTCTGCCTTTTCTAAACCCAGCTTGAACATCTGGCAACTCTCGCTCCATGTATTGCTGGAGTCTTCCTTGCAGGGTCTTGAGCATTACCTTACTGGCATGAGAAATAAGGGCCACTGTACGGAAGTTTGAGCAGTCTTTCGCATTTCCCTTTTTTGGTATGGGGATATAAGTTGATTTTTTCCAGTCTGATTGCCATTCTTGTGTTTTCCATATTTGCTGGCAAATGGCATGCATCACCTTGACAGCATCATCTTTTAAGATTTTAAACAGTTCAGCTGGGATCCCGTCGTCTCCTGCTGCCTTGTTGTTAGCAATGCTTCTTAAGGCCCATTCAACCTCACTCCTCAGGATGTCTGGTTCTAATTCATTCACCACACCGTCATAACTATCCTCAATATTATTATCCTTCCTATACAGATCTTCAATATGAATAGTACTGTATTAATAGTAGAAGGTTTGATTATGTAGACAAACCAACTCAAAGACCTGGGAAATACCAAGCCAGGAAGGAGGCTTCCTAACCCAGGCAATGGACACCGGGTGGAGGCAATAGCTTCAGGTGGAAGGAAAGAAGGAAGGAAGGGATTTCAAAGGAAACTGTCCAGAAGGAAGGAATCCTAGAGTTGGAAGAGACCTCATGGGCCATCACTCCACTGTAGTTTTGGGTTGTTGTAGGTTTTTTCGGGCTATATGGCCATGTTCTAGAGGCATTCTCTCCTGACGTTTCGCCTGCATCTATGGCAAGCATCCTCAGAGGGAGTGAGGTCTGTTGGAACTAGGAAAAAGGGTTTACAAAAGGGCTCTTGTCTGCTGGAGCTAGGTGTGAATGTTTCAACTGACCACCTTGATTAGCATTTGATGGCCTGGCAGTTGTTTGGTGTGGCTTGTTGGTGCCTGGGGCAATCTTTTGTTGAGAGGTGATTAGATGTCCCTGATTGTTTCCTCTCTGTTGTTTTGCTGTTTTAATTTTAGAGTTTTTTACTGGTAGCCAGATTTTGTTCATTTTCATGGTTTCCTCCTTTCTGTTGAAATTGTCCACATGCTTCTTGTGGATTTCAATGGCTTCTCTGTGTCGTCTGACATGGTGGTTGTGAGAGTGGTCCAGCATTTCTCTGTCCTCAAATAATACGCTGTGTCCAGGCTGGTTCCTCAGGTGCTCCACTTGACAGATGCAACTGTCTTTCAGGTTGCAAAGGTTGACAACAGGCTATACAATTGGTCGGAAGCCTACTCCAACCCAGGCTGGTTTCGAACTCATTACCTTTTGGTCAAAGTGATCTTAATGCAGCTGACACTCAGCCAGCTGCGCCACAATCCTGGTGCTTAATGGTGTCACATTAGAAAACGTTGACCATTTCCACTCCCTTGGGAGCCACCTCTCCACCAAAGTCAACATCGATACTGAAATTCTACACCGCCTGAGCTCTGCAAGTGCAACATTTTTCCAAATGAAGCAGTGTTTGAGGACCGGGACATCCGTAGGGAGACCAAGGTGCTTGTTTATAGAGCTGTTGTCCTCCCAGCCCTGCTATATGCTTGTGAGACGTGGACTGTCTACAGATGTCAACATTGACACTGAAATTCAACACCGCCTGAGCTCTGCGAGTGCAGCATTTTTCCAAATGAAGCAGAGAGTGTTTGAGGACCGGGACATCCGTAGGGAGACCAAGGGGCTTATCTACAAAGCTGTTGTCCTCCCAACCCTGCTCTATGCCTTCGAGACGTGGACTGTCTACAGATGTTACATGCAACTCCTGGAACAATTCCATCAGCGCTGCCTCCAGAAAATCCTGCAAATCTCTTGGGAAGACAGGCGGGGAAACGTCAGAAGAAGCAAAGGCCACCAGCATTGAAGCGATGGTCCTCCGCCATCAACTCCGCTGGACCAGCCACATTGTCTGGATGCCCGACCACCGTCTCCCAAAGCAGCTGCTCTACTCCAAACTCAAGAACGGAAATGTTGGAGTACAGGAAAAGAGATTTAAAAACAGGTTCAAAGCCAACCTTCAAAACTCTGGCATAGACACTGAGAACTGGTAAACCCTGGCGCTTGAGCGCTCCAGCTGGAGGTCAGCTGCGACCAGCAGTGCTGCGGAATTTGAAGAGGCACGAATGGAGGGCGAAAGAGAAAAATGTGCCAAGAGGAGGGCGCTTCCGCTGTCAGCCCTAGCTTCTGCCAACCTAGCAGTTCGAAAGCATGCAAATGTGAGTAGATCAATAGGTACCGCTCCGGCGGGAAGGTAACGGCGCGCCATGTAGTCATGCCGGCCACATGACCTTGGAGGTATCTACGGACAACGCCGGCTCTTCGGCTTAGAAATGGAGATGAGCACGAGACTCCCAGAGTCAGACATGACTGGACTTAATGTCAGGGGACTATCTACCTACCTAGCTACCTATGAATCGTAGTGTTAATATCCGATATGCAGAATGTATTTCCATTTCCAGGACCAAATTTGACACAAATACCCGATACACCCAAATTTGAATATTGGGGGTAGGTGGGTGGGTGGGTTATTTTGTCATTTGGGAGTTGTAGTTGCTGGGATTTATAGTTCACGTAAAATCATAGAGCATTCTGAACTCCGCAAACAATAGAGTTGAACCAATAGAGTTGAACACTAGTGGAGTTTGGGGAAAAGAGACTTGTCATTTGGGAGTTGTAGTTCCTGGGATTTATAGTTCACCTCCAATCAAAGAGCATTCAGAACCCCACCAATGATAAAGTTGGGCCAAACTTCGCACACAGAACCCCTGTGACCAACAAAAAATACTGTGTTTTCTGATGGTCTTTGGCGACCCCTCTGACACCCCCTCACGACCCCTCCAGGGGTCCCGACCCCCAGGTTGAGAAACACTGGTACTCTAAACCCTTGTGCTGGCAGGGCTAAAGACCGACAGGTTGAAGGTTCGAATCCAGGGAGAGCAGGTTGAGCTCCCTCTGTCAGCTCCAGCTCCTCATGCAAAGGGGACATGAGAGAAGCCTCCTTCTGTCAGCTCCAGCTGCCCATGCAGGGGTATGAGAGAAGCCTCCCACAAGGATGGTAAAACATCAAAACATCCAGGCATCTCCTTGGCAACGTCCTTGCAAATGGCCGATTCTCTCACACCAGAAGCTACTTGCAGTTTCTGTAGCCGGAAAGTAGGTTGAGCTCCCTCTGTCAGCTCCAGCTCCCCATGCAAAGGGGACGAGGGGAGAAGCCTCCTTCCCACAAGGACGCTAAAGCATCAAAGGCATCCCCTGGGCAACGTCCTTGCAGACGGCCGATTCTCTCACACCAGAAGCGACTTGCAGTTTCACAAATGGCCGGAAAGTAGGTTGAGCTCCCTCTGTCAGCTCCAGCTCCCCATGCAAAGGGGACGAGGGGAGAAGCCTCCTTCCCACAAGGATGCTAAAGCATCAAAAGCATCCCCTGGGCAACGTCCTTGCAGACGGCCGATTCTCTCACACCAGAAGCGACTTGCAGTTTCACAAATGGCCGGAAAGTAGGTTGAGCTCCCTCTGTCAGCTCCAGCTCCCCATGCAAAGGGGACGAGGGGAGAAGCCTCCTTCCCACAAGGACGCTAAAGCATCAAAGGCATCCCCTGGGCAACGTCCTTGCAGACGGCCGATTCTCTCACACCAGAAGCGACTTGCAGTTTCACAAATGGCCGGAAAGTAGGTTGAGCTCCCTCTGTCAGCTCCAGCTCCCCATGCAAAGGGGACGAGGGGAGAAGCCTCCTTCCCACAAGGATGCTAAAGCATCAAAGGCATCCCCTGG